TTGATCCGCCGCTCCTCCGCCAGGAAGCCCACCTCACCTGCGGGAAAGGAACCGAGGGGCGTAGGACGGTCAGTGGCGCAGGGTTGGCTCCGGGTCTAGATTTGGCCCCAGTGACTGAAGGGTGGCTTGGCTGAAGGGTGGCAGCCAGCTTACTGGGCTCTGGTCCCTGCCTCATGCCGTTACTGTCATCCTTCTGCCTCTGTTTCCCCACCTGCAAGCCAGAGCCGGGGCTCCCTGCTGAGCTCCCAGGGTCAGGAGGAGGACGGACGGCACACCGAGAGGAGAAATACTTCCCTGGGCGGCCCCACAACACAAGACCAGGCTGGGACCTGGGAGCAAACGCGATACAGAGCAACACGGAAAGGGCTCGCCTTGTGACCGAAGAGGAGCCGCAGGTAGGAAATACACCCTGGCCTGTACAGCGCCCCCCACCCGCCCCCAAGCTCTCGCTGCGTTTGGAGTAACAGCACTGAGGCAACCCCGCAAGGCTGGCTTCTGCTCTCCGACTGTTTTCTTGAGGAAAAGCAGTGAAGAGCCAGCAAACACCAAGATGACTCAGTGAGGAATCAGCGAGCAAGGAGGGTAGTGTGGGCAGCTTTGGAGTTTCCAGCTCCCGGGGATAAAGAGGAGGCCAGTCAGGAAGAAATGAACGCCCCTGCTGGTGCCGTGGCCAGCCTGGCTCTGTGTCCGCCTTGCCTGGCCGCGGCTGAGCAGCCTCCTGTGTGCTGCCTTTGAGGAACAGGGTGTGGGCGACCCCCTCGCCGTGCTCTGCAGCTTACAGAACCACTGCCAGTTTCTCGGACGTGGTGGTTTTGCCTGACTGCAGGGGCAAGTCCAGCTCCTCTGATCCGGCAAGAAGGTTTTCTGCCGGATCGGGAATGGCTGCAGAGGGACAGGCGCTGCTGGTCGAGGTCCCTGGCCTCCTCCGAACTGAGAAACGCAGCTGAGAGAGGGTACGGGTTTCTCCCGCGGGTCTCACAGGGTGCTAACAACATCTCTTGTGCCCCAGGCAGGCCAGAGCTGTGCCCAGACGCCACGAGAGGCTGCCTCGTGCCCCCAGGAAAGCGAGTGATCCCCGCACCACGTCTGAGCTCTGGCCGCTAGCTGCGCACGGGAAGGGGGCCGGGGGACACGCGCCTTCGCAGAGGACACCAGCTCCCACCGAGCAAAGGCGAGGTGAGTCACTCATGCATAAGGACTATTCTTAGTCCTGTCCCCCACCTCCATTCTCCCCGCAATGCTGCTTTTCTTGCTCTAGGAAAAAAAGCCTCCTCCTTCCACGCATCCTTTCCTCTTTTTTTTCTTTTCCCCCCTCCTAGACATCAGCACTCCCGGCACATACCCAGCGTTTCATCCTCAGCAGCAGCAGCAGCAGCAGCAAGGGATGGTCTCGCTGCGGGTTTGAAAAGGGCAGGGATCCCCGCACGGGAGGGAGCTGGTTCCCAGAGCGGCCCCACTCACGCCCCCTCCCGCTGAAGCTGGCTGCCACAAAACCCTTCAGCAGGGGTTGACGGCTCAGCTGAAGGAGCCTGACGGCTCCAGGGCAGCAGCTTTTGCCCAGCTATTAACTTTCGCTGCAGCTGCTGATAGGAAAGAACTCGATTTTCCGCTCTAGATTTTGCTCCGAAAAGAAGCATTTTCTGTGTACGACTTGTAATGCCAGCTCCTGCTCGCTTTCTTCAGGGGAGTGACCCAAAATAGGCTCCAAAGCCAAGAAATGAGCCCCCCAAATTTTAACCGTTTGTGGGAAGTTGAGGCTGGATATTAGGAAGCATTTCTCTACTGAAAGGGCTGTCAGGCACTGGAAGAGCCTGCCCAGGGAGGCAGTGGCATCACCATCCCCAGAGCTGTTTAAGAGTCGGGTAGATGTTGTACTTAGGGACGTGGTCTGGTGGTGTTGGTAGAGCTGGGACAGAGGTTGGACTCGATGATCTTGAAGGTCTCTTCCAATCGAAACTGCTCTATGATTCTATGACAAGTGCTTGGCACTCCAGTAAATGTGGTGCTAATGTGACATGTGCCCTTCTTGGGACCCCGGTTCAAATAATTTCTGAGGCCTCAATAGGCAGGAACCCTTCAAACTAAGCAGTCCTGGCTTCCTTTTTACCTGCTGCCTGGCAGAGGCGCTTCCTCTGCAACCAGGACGGCGAATATATTCATTCATCAGAAAAAAAAAACAGGCCGAAAAGGAAGGTTCTGGCCAGTGAATTCATTCAAAGCGAAGTGCTAGAGACCGTCAGAACTGCAATTAAACCACAGCACTCGGCACCAAGACAAGCGACCCTGGAGCAACCACACAGTTCCCGTTTCTCTCCCATTCCCCATGGAGCAGCTCTCCAGCAGCGCACTCTTACCTTTCCTGTTGGATCTCACAAACGACAGGATCACTGCCTCTTTCTCTCTTCCTTGGAAACCATCAACTGATTTAATCTCTAGCTCTGGGTACCTGTGGCAAAGGTGCTCCCTTAGCATGTCCACCTGAAAAACACGCAATAGGTATCTTGTAAAGAAAAGTGCAAGGTGAAAAGGATTTAAATGGCGCTGCTTTGGTAAAGATCCTTCCTCTCAAACCCATAAGGATGAGTGCCCACATCTCCCGGAGGTCAAGTGCCGACTCCTGAGGCTGGGAGTGGAAAACACCCATCTAACGTCTCTTCCTTCCATGGCCACAAATGCTGATCACACAGTTTCGCTCTGCTGGCTCCCACCTTCGTCCCTCTGAGGACGTTCTGGTATCACTCCTGAAGATGTCACGGTTTGAATCCACCTCTGTGCATCTGCTCTGTGGGCATGCAGAAAGAGAGAGGAGATACCAGGAGACAGCCCTCACCTGGAGGTTGTAGGGGGCTACAACAGCGATGTCTCTTGCCTTCACACCAGCTTCCACCAAGGCTTGGATGTGCAACCCGGCCAGCTGCACCTCCCCTAGGGCAGAAAGCAGAAGGGACGGTGAGGGGACCCGGCTGGCAGGCAGCGGGAAGGACGCGCCAGCTCGGAGAAATTCGCCCACCTCCCCTTCAACAGCAGGGAAAGGGGAGGGAAAGCCCTGCCTGCAGTCCAGCGGGGGTAACGATGCCCAGCGTGGCTTGCTCGGCTAGATGGGGACGTGCCACACAACCTCCCTCCCAGGGCTGCACAGTGCTTGCTTCTTGCCTTGCCAAGTCACCAGCTCGCTTAAGCTTAAGCTTAAGAAGAGTTTTCTGAACAGCACTTGGCTTCCTCTGGCCCTCCCGTGTTAATCCAAGAGATCAAGGGTAATCCAGGCAATAGATTATTCTCCCTCTGAAGCGAGATCCTAGACCTCACTAAAAAATCAATTCTCCACGCTGCAACTGAAAAAACTCCACCTTTCCTTTTTATGCTGCTTTTTCAAGTCTCCATCTTTCTAAACCCCCACGACCAAATAAACAAGCTTCATGCTCAGACCTTCCAGAGACCGCAGGCAGCCTGCCACAAACAACAGGCTCTTCAGGATGGTGGCTGGTTCAGAGAGATCTAATGAGGACAAATACAAATGTGGACTATTTCACTGGCTCATTGGCGGGACTGACTTTACCCTTCATTTTGCAGCAAAACACAGGCATAAAACTCAAGAATCTGCAGTATGCTGCTCCAAAAGGCTGCCTCCCAAATTCTGGGAGACGTGCTTTTACTCCCCTGCTCAAAATCCCTGAGTTATCTTAAATAAGTGGTTTTGGCTCTCCTTTTGGGGATGAGAGCCTTTCTCTGTTCAAGGCCACGGGGACTGGTGTACAGAAAAATGAGAGGCCCTTAAATGCTGGTGGGTTTTCCAATAAAAGAAGGCAAAAGATACTTGAACTGGTAAAAACTGTCCTTGTGTTTTACAGTCCATCTTCCCTGTCTTGCCAGGGAGGGACTTGAAGCCTCAGAAATCTGTTGCTGGCATGAGATCTGCACTGGCGAGCAGAGAGGAAAACAAACGAATCCCTGAAGCAGGCAGCCCCGTTGCCAAACAAGCTCTTTGGCCACGTGAGAGCGATGGCTAGAAAAGCCTGTGGCTTGGCCACCGGGAAAGGCGCCTCAGCAAAAGCGCGAGCAGCAGCCGGGCAGGCGGGGGGGCCGTGGGTGAGGCGGCCGGGCACAGGCACCCCCGCCAGGATCGGCCCCCTCCAGGCACCGCCGAGCCAGCCTGGGCAGCGAATTGACAATCTAGGGGAAAAGGTGGCCCCGAAAGAAGAGTCTCCCCTTCCCCACCGCCCAGGCTCACTGGGCCCTCCCAGCAATCCTGCTGGGCTAAGAGCTCTCCCGAACGCTTTTAGGAGAGCTGTCTCCCTGACAAGCTGGGATCTGTGGATTGCCAACTGAAGCACCAGATTTTTGACAGCCCACGTGTAACACCTCCTGGCAAAGGCCCTCTGTGAGCCTCTTCAGAGCCAGCCGGCAGGTGTGGAGTCGCCAGACGGAATCTAGAGGAGCACGAGCAGCATCCCGGAACGGCAACTCACACCCCCCGGCCCTGCTGGGGAAGGGAGCGCGCAAAGGAGGCAGCAGCACCGTTTTCCGAGTTCCGCCGCGTTATTAGAACGGCTGCAGGGCCTGACCTTACGCTCAATCTCCACAATGAAACCTATTTTTCACTCCAGAAAACAACAGGAGACTCAGCATCTTAAGGAAGTTCATGGAGAAGAGCCCTGCAGGACTTCATGAGAGGAGACTGGGAGGCAACTCTGAGCCGTATCTACAGCCTCCCTGAAACAGGCTTTTTCTTTTCCTGCCGCCGCTGTCTCCCCCGCCAGCTTGTGCAGCGCATCTGTCACAGGGATCCTCCACCCGGCCCCAGTCCGCAGCCTGGAGAAATGTCTCTGCGAGGGAACAAGCTGCACACTGTCATCGTGGCCCTGTGGCCACTCCGCTCTGAGGCAGAGTTCTCTGAGCTTGAGGATTTACAGAGGCAAGGCTCTCTCAAATAAGCAAGGCTCCCCGGGGACCCCACCTTCCCCCTGCCACCTGCTCCGGAGGGGGACACCTCTGGGATGTGGCTCGGCTGGGGCAGCGGCCAAGCCCGCAGGAGGCTGAGGGGCTCAGACAACCGATGCTGGCCAACACCGTTTTCCGAGCGACGGTACCTGGATTCCCCTTAGACTGTTCATCCTCCACCTCCAGCTCAAACAGGCCGCAGCCAGCAGTGTCGATGAGCAGTAAGGGAATGGCGGTCTCTTCTGTAGAGGCGACGCCCGGCAGGTCCCTGCACAAGGTATTTGGGAAAGGGCCAGTTAACAACGCTGGAATGATGCCAAAGGGAGGACAGTTGTGGTGTTGCTTACTCCTCCCAACAACACTGCAAGGACAGAGGGAAAGCGCAGCTGGACGTTGCTTCCGAGGGACAAGGCTACGGACCAGCAGCGGTGTCCTGCGGGGTGCAAAGGCAGCGAGATTGGCTCTGGAGGCGGTGAAGAACGGCAGAAACTCAGAACTGAGGTTCCCCCCATCCGGCTCCACCGAGGCTTTGCCCCCCCTTGCAGCTGCACTGAC